CCCCAAAACCCCAAAACCCCAAAACCCCATTCCTCTATTATTCGGCAAAAATTGTGAAGGATTTATGAAATTAAGTTACTTGATATAATCAACTGATAAACCCACTTCCTCCAAAAAATCCACCAGCACCCATAGATGGACCTCCAAAGCCGCCTCCTCCTCCATTCCACTTTTTATTATAATCATCTATCTCTTTCGAGTTTTGAATGGATGACAAACTTCTCTATAGTTCCTATAACAATTGATAGTTGAAGGCTTTCTGATTCTTTTTGTTCTTCTCTTCTTCAATGTAAGCTTTATTGTCTTTGTCTATAAACTCTTGAAGATTTTATGGCAGCTTAAATTCTTATTTAATGATGGATTCTTGCTTCACTTCTTCCTAGTCAGCTTTACTAACCTGAAAATCATTTTTCATTTCAACATTCTAGCCCCTTCGCTTGTAAATAGCCATATATGGAGTATCATTCGGGAAATTCCTATCATAGTTTAATTTGTATTTGTTAATAGCTTACTTTTATATGGTTGAAAGATAAGAAATATCTTTAATCTAAGTGACACTTGCATCATTAAATATCCTCCACTAGTTATCATTTTGATCTAGTGATATTGTATAATAATGACCATAGTTAGCATTCTTGCCCTAATTAAAATTATGCAATAAAATTTCTTACTGAATGAATAATAACTGATTATAATTCGTATGTTTAAAACGTATCACAATCAGGTGAATCTTAATCACTCATTTATTCTTTATCAAAAGATATTTATTGGAGGACTTCACAAGGATTAAGCAATTTGATCTTGGTTAGAGATTTCATTTCAAATTGGAATCTGTAAATAGTTACAATAAGATATTCAGGTAGCCTTTCAATTTTAGAGTATTTTATGGCTTTTTCTACTTTTGCTTAGCAGTTGTCGCAGTAATATTGGTTATCTCCCTCAAATACTTCCTCTCCAAGTGATTCATTTATTAGGGCTTTTATATTCTTTACTTCCATATGGGCTGATTGATCCTTATCAAGATTTACTCCAATGTCTATGAAATTCTCTTTTTATTCTTTGATAAAATTGCATGTCAAGCATTTAAGGTAATTAACCTTAATTCCTTCAATGTATTTGCCAATTAAATTTTCAGCTTCACACTACTTCAACTCATTCTCTATTTTATCCAATAGCAATTTAGCAAACTCTGAACTATCATGCTATTCCCAGTTTTTGAAAAAATCTGGCAGAGACACTCTAAGTTAATTAGGTGCAATCACTGGCCTGGCACTTCCATAAAGTTAAGCAAACAATCTTTGCAATTGATAGAGACTAAGTTTAACTTTATCAAGCAGCTTTTAATTCTTTTCTTATACTTTACTTTCTAACTCTATTAAATCTTCTCTAAACTCCTTCATTTGATATAGTGCTTGCAGGAATGAATTCATATAGCATGCTGAAAATATTATAAAAGATTATACTTACTATTTCCTAGATTGACTAGTCCCTTATACTTTTAAATTTTTAATTCATCTTCTTGTTTTTAAGTATCTTCTTAGGTTTTGCCATCTTTTTTATCTTAATTAACTTCTTAAGTATTTTCATAGGATGTCAGTGTGTGCTATTACTACATTGATACCCATAACCCCTAAATTTTCATTCTTTCTATTTCTTCCTAGTCTAGCATTTTCAATTCGTAATCATATATTAATTCCCCAACACGATCCTGAATCTCTATATATTTCTCAGGATGCCCTACATGAATACTAATGCATACGCTAAGATAATCGCATAATTCTTGAATCAACTATTTATCAACTGCTATTATTTATTTGTCTTGATCATCTTTGATTTATTTAAGAAGGTTGATATACTCATCGCAGTAATCAATAAAATATTTAGGCTATAGTTGATAGCCAAACTAAAAGAATCTCATCAATCTCAATGCATTCAGACTATAACTGTTATTCTTTTTGATTTTATTCATTAGTATTTTGACAGATCTCGGGATAAGATAAACTAGGAATTAAAACTTTTTCTACTAAAGGGTAACAATCAATAATGCATTTAAGAGTTAGTAAATGCATTTCGTAGTTGGAAGTTTTAGTAAGTTGAAGAACATATTCTCATCATTGATTGTATCTTCTGACTTTTATTATTAGCTCAGACTCTAGAATATGCTATAAAATTATGAGGCTAAATATATCTCATTGACCTGCTCAAAGAGTTCCATTGCCATAAAAAACTTGTTTGAATTGCCATTTTTATTAGCTGGCACCTCTTGTATCAATCAAGTTATGATCTAGACTGAAATCTGATTGAGTTAACTGGACTAAATATTAGTTATGGCTTTAATAATCTTTAATAGCTATTCAAATGCTTTGAATTCCTTCTTATCTCCGATTCCAAAGTACTTAAACCAATTATGAATTAATTTCAAGACATCTATTCCTGAAATAGGTATAAATACTTGGTTAACTGATAAAACATAACAGAAACTGCGCCTGATAAAATTCAGTTCTGGTCTTGAAATTTCACACTCTAACAGCAAGCTCTATGTTGCCTTATTCGACATAAGTTTTTGTACTTAAGATTTTATCAGTTGAGTCATGATTTCACTAGGATTAATATTGGGAGATATTTGGTCATACTGACGAAGTAATTGCTTTATGAGGATAATTTATAGAAGTAATGTATGCTAATCTGTATTTTCTATAAAGGCTAGCTATTGCTCTGTAAACTAGGGCTGGCTGATTAATATCTTTATAGTTTCAGAATGCTATAAGAATAAGCAATCGATTGTGTCTGTTTTAGCCTCTTGAAAAGCTATTTTGACTAATTTTTTGTAGGTTCGTATGTTCAAAGCAGTAAATTGCAAAGAAAGATTAAGAGATTACAATATTATTATTGCTTTCCTATCAGGAGTTTAAGCTTGTATTAGAATTTTTTGAAATATAAGCCTGAATGCCTTTAGTATGTTTTCTTAGGCAGCATTAAATTGGTCGATATTTTGGAATAGTTTAGAGTAGAGTTGCTCCATTGAATTTATATATTTAAAATTAAAATTATTATAAACTTAACTTATTTTCATTTTAATTTTTAAATCACAAATACAGTGCTGAATTACAAAATAATTCCATTCCTCAAAACTCATTGATTTTCTCAAGCAAATTATCTTTGAGAGGGTGACTCTTTTTAACCAAATGCTGAGTTTGCTAGACCATGTATTACATCTAAGCGTATTCAGCCAACTCATATAGCACGAATAGTTTGAATGAGTGCCAAAAAATGAATTTAGTATTTTGCATCTGAAAGAGATGCGAGTCTCCAGTGTATTTTTGTTTAAATCGTCTTATAGCTAAGAAAGTACTCGCCACTGCATAAATATAGTAGGAGTATACTATTCCATTTGAGATCTACTCTGTAACAATAATTGTCTTTTTATCCTGCTCAGAAGTTTGTGGATTATTTAGAGCGTACTTTAGGTTGTACTTTAAGATATAATACTAGTTGTTATTCATTTTATGATCTAGATTTTTTTATATTAAATAACTATTATCAACGAATACTCATTCATATTTCGAGGGGTTTTGGGGTTTTGGGG